CCCCAAAACCCCAAAACCCCAAAACCCCGCCAGCCTCCCACATTATAATAATAATTCTAAAGCACTAAAATGTCAGCCAGACACATAGTTATTGACTTTCAGTCTTACCTACAGCTTGGCCCAGTAAGCAAAGAACTTGCTTAAGGATTTGGGGTGGTACAGCTGTGAGGGAGAAGGCAGTTGGGATTTTGGAGGAAGAGGGGAGGAAGGGGGTAGGGGAAGAGAGGGGATTAGAGGTGGAGGTTTTGGGGGAGTGAGGTGGGGTTGGGACTGAGTGAGTTTGGGTATAGGGAGAAGAAGGAAAGATTATGAAAGGGGTTGAAGGGATTGAGGAAATTTGGAGTAAGGGTGAAGAGAAAGGAGTGATTGTGAGGTAAGATTGGAGGTTGAAAGGAATTTATGGTCTAAAATTTTGGAAAATTAGAATTGGTATTTTTATTTGAGAGTATTAAGAGAAATTCACATTTTGTAATAAATTATAGGTTTCAAGATTAATGACTTAAAAATTACAGTTTTTACTTATTGATTATTCATATCTATCGATTTATTTTGATCAGCATTCGTAGTGATTTTGAGTCTCATATTATGTCTATGCTGACTACCATCATTTCAAGTAAAATTCCTTCATTTAAAATATTTTGTTATTACCTTTATAGCCTTTATTTCCCAGTATTGTGCAAAGAAATTGAAAAATTCCAGATACTATTGACCAAGAAAAACAAGTCTAAAGAAAATACAGAGAACAATCAAGGTAAATTTTCTGATGAATTTAGTAGAATCCAAAGCTAATATTGTAGTCGGTCCCCAATGATTATTCTTTGAATTAGGATTCCATTCTTCTGCTGGGCATGAAACCGTAGTCTACTCAAACAATCCAAACTTCTTTCATAGGCGATTCGTTGACATGCTCAAACAGGAATATGGGAGCAATAAGAATATTCCTATTAAGCACAGAAGGATGGAAAGGCTAGATGAAGATTTAAAACTAATGAGACTTGTTTCAAAATTGGCAAATATTGAAGAATCAAAGATTGATCCAAGATTAATAAAACACAATAAAGAGATAACTTATCAAATCAACGTAAAAGAAGAAAACAAAGATATTGAAACAGGCATCTCAGAATCTCAAACAATGGCTGGTCTATCAACTACATCAGGATCAACTGCATACTCTGAAATAGATAAAGAAATGGAGGAGCTTGAAAGGAAATTCGACCTTGACAAGGACTATAAAAAATCACTTGCTGTGCTATTAGAGAAAATTCCTAAATACTTTAACAAGACAGATGATAATAATGTTATCAAATTCATGAATGGGCTTGGAAATCTAACCACCCAGCATCTCAATAAATTTGAAAAATTATTGAAAAGCCGTCTTAGTCAGATTGAAAGAACAAACTATTTCCTTTCTGTGAGAAATTTTCTTTGTGAGAACGAAATCATAAAATGTGAGGTTCTGAATCTATGGGTACACACACATCATGGAGACACAGAAGAGAAGATGAAAGACTCCTACACTGTGAAAATAGACTTTGACAAAATTGATACTGTCTTGGCTGAACTCAAAGAAAATGAACCAAAGCTTTCTCTCAAGGGTCACAAGTTGATAGATAATAATTTTAACATCTACGGGGAAATATGCTACGCAGCTGTTATAAATTTGACAAAAAATAATCTTATGAGCTCTGATAAACCAATCAGTTCAGTTAAAAGTCTGACTCAAAACATCCATCATGTTTTGAAAGACATTTATAACTCCAAGGCAGTGACCAAAGATCAGAAGTACGTTATAAAGAAGGATAAGAAGATTAAGTACATGATCGCTGAAATATTAAAATATAACAAAATCTGGGAAGAACAGAAGGATGGATCTATAATAATTAACAAAGAAAAGTGTGAAGTCCTACTTAATGAGTTGGAGACTTGGCCTTCTCAAAATATGATAGATAGGTTGATTGGAGACATTGAGGAAATTATTTCAGAGGAGCACGACTCTTAAAAATATCACTAGTTCTTGAATAATACTTGTTTTCAATTACTGTCGGGTCACATGGGGTTTTGGGGTTTTGGGGTTTTGGGGTTTTGGGGTTTTGGGG